CCTTAACATGCAATGTGACCTTGATCTGAAAAGCATGTTTGGTTAGCCCAGAAACTTAATCATAAGAAGTCATAAGTAGAATCCTTCTTCTTTACTGCCCTTTTTCTAGGACCAGAAAATTTATTGCTTGTGGGACAGGTATGATATGAACAATGGTCCAAATAGAGTCCAGGGTTATCTCATCTGTGTGAAAACTGCTGCTGAAAATCGATGTGACCTCTGCTATACTGTCATCCCAGTTCCCACCCTCTGTGTCCTATTTGTCTTTTGGTAGAAGCTTAGATCTGTGTGCTGTCTCTATGTGTCTCTCTTGGGCCAGATTATCAAAATGAATCATTGCCTGCATACCTCTTATATTTCTATTTATTTTCCTGGAGTTGACTAGGTCTGATGAAATATGATTCTTTTTGCATTTGATCTTTACTGCAGCAAGCAGCACCTACTTCAGCTGTGTCTATATCTTTAAAGAAGAGTAATACTATTTTGAAACTTCAATCTACTGTACAGTAACATTACAAACTATAGACCATGCAACCTGTCCTCATAATCAATAGCAATTTTACTTTCAGCCAATTTAATGGCATTTCCTTCTTCTTCAAATAGAAGACTTCTAGTGATTTTAACACAGTTATAATGTTGCTTTTTGCATGCCGAATATATCGCTTGTTTTAAAAAAGATGCCCCTTAGATTCTCACCACTGACGTTATCAGTTTGCATTGAGTGATATATGACAAGAAATCCAATAATTGTATCCTCTGTCACTAACAAAAATATTTATTCAGGGAATATTATGTTCTCTGAATCAGCAAGAAGTCAATGCTCTGTTTGTAGCAATTGATTCTTAAAGAATAAATGTCCTGGCATATATAAATTTGAGTTTGATTTATAATCTGCAGTGTAGAGATGTAGAAGTTATCTAATTGTTGCACATATTGAGAAACACTTGTGAAGCCTTCCCTTTCACTCACTTCCTATGCCCACATGGAAAAGACAATATATACAAAAACAAACAAACAAAATGCATTGGTGACGTGTACTGAGAGAGGTTTTAGGATTTAGGCATTTTATTTTTATCAGAAGTTATTTCAAAAGTAATGTGTTTGTGAATGAAGCTTGCATAATTCATAATTTTCTGATTCCTACCTGAATAATTGTTTACAAGTTTCGTACCTATCATCATAGGATGCAGGAGACAAAAAGGAGGGATGGGAGAGCAAAGAGGGAGGGATTGAAATTCAATAAGATGTTTAGGTTAGTTGGGCATGGTGCTGCATGCCTGCAGTAACAACTCTTCAATACTCATGAGTCTGAGGCAGGAAGATAGAGCCCCGGAGACCATCCAGGACTACATAGCCAAACCCAGTCTCAAAAATATTCAAAGACATTAGGGTTAATTTTATTGATTAATTAATTTTATTTTTTGGATTTTCAAGACAGAATTTCTCTATGAAATAGTCCTGGCTTTTCTGAAACTCACTTTGTATATCAGGCTGGTCTTGAACTCTCAGTGATCTGCCTGCCTCAGTCTCTAGAGTGCTGGAATTAAATGTGTATGCAACCATCTCCTGCATATTTTAATGATGCATATTGAAATAATTACAGGCTATGGAAATACAACCAAAAGGTACTGTAGAAAACATGTACATTGTAACTATAAGCAAAATGATCATTTTTAAAGACTTTTTTAATGATAATCTTTGGGAAGATAATTGTTATAACTTTCTGTCAAAAACTGTTAAGAATGTTTGGATTTTGTCAAAACCTTTGAGGCTGATAAATATGCTTTTTATATTAGAATTCAAATAATTGGAAACTTTATCATTTACTTATTGTTTTATTTTCATTAATTTTTTGAGGAACATTCTTTAACTTTTAGCATATCTACTTACAGTTGATTTTTGTCAATAGATTCTTTTCTCATACAATACATCCCTACCACAGTTTCCTCTACCTCCACTCCTCCCAGTTCTTTACCATCTGCCCTTTCCCGCACATCTACTCCCATCCAGTTCCTTTCAGAAAAGAGCAAGCCTCCAAGAGACAACAACTAAAAACCACAAAAGAAAATACAATAAGACAAGGCAAAATCTCTCACACCAAGACTGGACAAGGTAACCCAACAGAAGGAAGAGTCCCAGGTGCAAGCAAAAGAGATACACTTGCTCCCACTGTTAGGAGACCCACAAAACACTAAATAAACAGCCATGACATATGTGCAGAGAACCTGATGAAGACCCATGCACACCTGTGTTTGCTGCTTTAAACTCTCTGAGCCCATGTGAGCCCTGCTTAGTTAACTTGGTAGGTCATGTTCTTGTAGTGTCCTCCATCCCCTCTGACTCATGCAATCTTTCCTCTGCCTCTTCTGTGGGGTTCCTTGAGTTCCAAGAGAAGATACTCCATGGAGACCTCCACTTTAGAAACTCTACCCTCCTCTCTCTATTGATCGATCAACTATCTCTCTCCCCATCTCTGAATAATGTTTGCCTGTGGGTTTCTGCATCTGCTCCCTTCTGCTGCTGAAGGAAGTTTCTGATGACAACTGGACAAGTGGACAAGGCACTGGTCTATGAGTATACCAGAATATCATTAGGAATCATGGATTTATTGTTGTTGTTGTTATTATTATCATCATTATTATTATTAGCCAGTCCTTTTTGGTTCTAACCTAGGTCTCTTGGGATATCCAGTCTCCAGTTCTCAACAATTCAGGCAGTATAGGGAAAGGGCCTCAAGTTAAGGCAGACCTTGGTTTAACTTCCACAAGTTCTGCACCACCATTGCTCCAGGACATCTTGCAGTCAGGACAGATTGTAGATCAAAGATGTGGCTGTGTTGGTGTTCAGAATTCTCTTTCTGTATCCTTCAGAATAGCTTCTCATGCATAAAAGACTAGGCTTCATGTAAGCCCCAGTTCATCCTATGTAGGTGGTTGGATTGGGGATGGGGTGGGGATAGGATGGGAGGGAGAAGGTGTGGGAGGGAGAGAGTAAAGGGAGAGACAGAGGGAATTGGGGGCCACTTGGGGGACAATGTAGAAAACTTGTGCAGTGGAAACTTCCTGGTGTCTATGAGGGTGAACCTAGTGATGACTGCTAGTGATGGAGGATATGGAGTCTGAACTGGCAGGTTTTTATAGACAGGCAAGTCTTGCAGTGCTCACCAGGTTGCATGGTCAAGTTGTTGGCTGAAGGAATCTCTTAGAGATCCCTAAACAAACAGTCTGATGATAGGATAGGTCAATCTCCAAAAACCGAGAGACGTGCCTGATTGTGGAGGACAACAGCCACACATCTCATTGAACACAGAAAACCTAATTATTTAATATCATCACTTAACTTTGTAAACCTTATTGATCTTAGAAAAATAGAAAGCATGAAGATTATTTAATATTAAGAGCATTTGGTTGAGAGATAATGCTGTCCTGTTAATTAGACTCTCTGAAGATTCCTACCATTAAATGGAACAACTTCCCACACAAGAATTCCATAACAAAACAGGATAACTGTCAAATCAATGGAACTCAAGGCTCTATACACAAAAACACATACATATAAACTATATATGCATATACACAGATATACTACCAGTCAAACACAGACTCTTTTTGTAAGGCAGTTATTCTAAACCATATGAAACTGGTTAGGTATAAATTCAATTCAAACTGAGTTTGTTTTACTTTTTTTAGTGAATCCATTTCAAATATATTTACTAGCAGACTTTTTCTTATAATCACAGAAACATAATTTTCACAGTATCAGAAACTACAATGCCTAGATTAACTAAACTCTTAAGACTTGTCTTCTATGCATAAATACTGAAATATTTGTCACTGAATTTTTTTGAATCCCAAGATTATCTCCCTAGGAACTTTTACTTAAAATTTTAAAAATAGAGCTGTGCGTTGGTGGTACACGCCTTTAATCCCAGCACTTGGGAGGGAGAGAGGGGCGGATCTCTGTGAGTTCGAGACCAGCCTGCTCTACAAAGCGAGTTCCAGAGCAGCCTCCAAAACAATACAGAGAAACCCTGTCTCCAAAAACAAAACAAAAAAATTTAAAAATAGTTCCCATTCCCAGTTACATAAGAAACTACTACATATTTCATGTAAGTCACATAAGAGATTGTTAACCATAATTCATGTTAGGTTCTCCTGAAAAAATAAATTCATGTTATTGGCAGACATCTCCATCTCAAACAATTCTGAAATACCGTAATAAATATTCTATTGATGTCTCAGTATGTGAAACTAAAAGATAATCTCATTTACATGGCCAAGACATGAAAAAAGATACTATAAAAATAAAAGATGAGAATACATATGATTTGCAGTTTTCTTATAAGGAATCATCTTCTAAATTAGAATTCACATTGAGAAATGCCCAATTTCAAGCAAGTAAATAATCTGAATAAGACTTCATATATTCATACAAAGAAATCTTACCTAGAATTTATAAAGACAAAAGACCACACATGTATAAATATAAAAAAAGTGATGCTAGAGTTAAATTATCTCAAGACAAAAGTGTTACATCTTGTATGATTTTATTTGTCTGAAATGTCAAGAAAAGTGAAAACTTTAATGACAAAGTAGAACACCCATTACCAAGGACTAGATTGCAAATGGAGACTATCTGTAAATACTTATGAGGAATATTATGGAAATATTGAGATGTTCTCAAATAGATGGGTAATCATGGTTAAAACATTTTATAAAATTATAAGAATTAAATTATATATCAATGAAGGCTTTAAAAATAATGGTAATGTGTAAGAAGGTAGATTCATAGATAGACTACAAATAGTGCTGAAAAACAGAAATGCCAACTTATCCATCTGTTAGTAGCAATCTTGCTCTCTAGTTTATGTAAATGGTATAATTTGAGTGCCCATAATTTAGTTTTAAAAAGAAAATTGTTATATATGTCTACTAGAAATGACTTGGTGAAATTTGAGTTGTTAATTTGTGAACCATCTGACATTAATTTTATTTTTGCAGAAGAAGTACCAGCTCAAATTCCAATGATGAAGTCACCCTTGGACAAGATCCAGTTGGCACCTGGACAGGCATTGCCCCCTGGATTCGCAGGACCATTCATTTTTGCTGATAGTCTGTCCTCCGTGGAGACTCTGTTGACCAACATTCAGGTCAACAATATTTCTATAAACAAAATAAATGTAATACAAGACATTAGCACCTACATAAATTATTTCCTATTTGAGAATTTAAAACGGATAAGATGAACTGCATGTCATTTGCTGTACATTGACAGGGTTTACTGAAAGTGGCTTTGGATAATGCTCGCATCCAGGAGAAGCAGATTCAGCAAGAAAAGAAGGAACTTCGAATAGAACTCTACAGAGAAAGAGAAATTAGAGAAAACCTGGAGAGACAACTTGCAGTTGAGCTTCAAAGCAGAAGTAAGTTGAATAAGTTCAATTAAATGCTGAATATTGCATTGGAAATAATTTTATTGCTTACAGAAATACTTCCATGGATAGTTTATAACTGTTAAAAATGAATACCAAATAAAAACAAATTGTGGTAACTAAGTCACATAGCATTAAGAATGTTTTTCTCTCAGAGGTAATGAATAACATTTGTATTTTGGCTAGTTACAGATTTGAAAATATGCATAGCTATGGTCCTCATAATATGATAAATTATATCTAGACATAGATATTGTCACCTGGTGTTATGTATAAAATACCTACTCTTCCCTTGATGCTGTATTTTGTAATATAAAGTAAATTAAACTCAGTCTTTATCCTGGAAGGATTTACACAATCAGAAAATTCCAAAATAAAGTGACAAAAATGATCATTCATAGTCGGCTTGGTTTCAAAGAGATTAGTTAATCATATTGAAATTATATAGTGTTAAAACAATTTCTTCCGAAGCTGATGCCTGAATCTGAACCTCAAAGAATCAGTAGTCAAAAATAAAATGGGCTAAGTATTGTGTATTAGTATAGGCATGGAAGCAAACAAACAAATAAAAAACTTTATACTTGGGTGAGTAAATACAGCTTGATTTTTGAATAACTTTGAAATTATGAAGAAGTTTCTAAAATTTATTTATTTTTGTTATTATTATTTTATGCACATTGATGTTTTGCCTGCATATATGTCTGTGTGAACATGCTAAATCTTTCTGGAACTGGAGTTTCAGACAGCTGGGTGCTGCCATGTGGGTACTGGGAATTGAACTCGAGTCCTCTGGAAGAGCAGCCAATGCTCTTAACCACTCAGCCATCTCTCCAGCCCGAAGAAAAGTTTTAACTGTGTAAATAATGAGCTTGGATTTTACTTTGCAACAATGGGAAGTATCAGAAGTTAAGCAAGGGAAAAGTCTCATTTAATTTCTATTGGATAGTTCACTCTAATGATGGAATAATTTTTTCAATTTTATTAATGAGAATATAATTACAACACTTCTTTAAACCTTTAAACTCTCCCCTATAGCCCTCCCCACTTTCCTTCAAACTCACAGTGCATTTTTTCCTAATTGTTATTGTGTACATATTAAGTATATATGTATACATATTTATTCCTAAATATAGCCTGTTCTGTCTGTATGAAGTTACTTTTTATTATGCTTTTAGGTCCTGAATAACTGATTTGTGTGGTCTTCCATGGGGAAGACTACCTATCCCATTTCCAGCTTTCCTTAGTAACATACTTATTTGAAGCCTGGGCTTTCCCCCATTCACTTTGGCATGTCCGTTGGTTTTGGCCTGGTTCTGCTGTCATTTGGACAGTCAGCTGGAGGTAGATGTTAAGGATGTGGCTTCTGATGTTACTAGGAGACACAATCTCACAGGAAACTGATTAGGACTAATGGAAGACTGAGAACAAGGAAAATACTACAAATGGATAGTTTGCTCTCATAAAAACAGTATTAATAAGGATTAAACTAATCTAACAGAAATATATGGAGGAGACATTAGAGGAATACTGAATTGTTCAAAATAGAATTAATATTTAAAAGTGTAAATTGTCGACAGTAAAGCATATAAACCTGACTAGTCCGTTTAAATACCACCCAAAAGTTTCAAATTAACTTTTATAAATAATTCCCATGCCTTTACATTTACCATAAAACATTAAAGGGCAGCAAAATATATAATACCAATTCCAGTTTCTTTCCATTCCCTGATTACCCTTCCAATGGAAAGCTCAGAAAGCCTAAAGTGAGTAGTGGAATTGAACTGTGAGACCAGAGGCAAAAGCTGGAGAGACACTCCATCACCTGGACATTTCACTGAAGACTAAAGGATCCTTCCAGTTCAGTAAAATTCAGTAACTTTTAATAATTCTAAGTATTATATTGTAACATGAAATTTGTCTTGGGAGATTTTCCTATAGGGTTAGGAATAATTTGTTCAGATTAAATATAAATCTACTCACTGCATTATAAAGAGATAAACATATTTTTTCTTAAAAATATTACTGCAAAAACTAAATTATATGTTTTAAGGTATGGAAAGTAGTATGTTTCTGATATTTCACATATGACATAAATATGTAACTTACACTTCCTTAGTAGCCATACTAGAACGTTCATCCAGTGACTGATGGAAGCAGAGGCAAACACCCACAGTTAAACACTGAACTGAACCCATGGAACCCAGTGACAGAGAGAGAGGAGCGATGAGCAAATTGGCAAAGAATGGGCTGCCCAAACCAGCAGAGACAGCTGATTTGAACAAGGGGGAGCTCTTAAACCCCAGACCGACAGCTGGGAGGCCAGCATGGGACTGATCCTGACCCCCTGAGTGTGAGAGTCAGTGAGGAGGCCTGGGCAACCTATGGGGCCCTGGGCAGTAGATCAGTGTTTATCCCTGGCATACAAACGGACTTCGTGTATCCGTTACACAAAGAGGGATGCTCTCTTAGCCTGGACTCTTAGGGGAGTGCCTGCACCCTACTCTGAGTGAAATGACAGACTCTGGATATCCCCGATGTGGAAGGAATTGGCAATAGGGTGGGAGGCTGGGTGGGGGATGGTGGGGGTTGTGGGAGGAGAGGAGGAAGAGGGAACTGGGATTGATATGTGAAGCAAGCTATTTAAAATTAAAGTAATAAAAAAATTTAAAAGTACATTTAAAATGACATAGGAAATGGTAGGTTTGCTTAGAATCTCACTATGAACCAATACCTTCTTGGAAGTTAATGATCCTATTTGGTGATCTATCATATTAAGTTTTCAGAGTTTAAAAATAATGTTTAAATTATGGCAATGAAGTTTCTCCTTGAGATAGAAAGCCCTGAGAACTAAGCTGGAATTGTTATTTAGCTCATCTTAAGCCTTTCTGCTTATGAGAGGCTCCTTACGGTGATTGCAGTTTTATAACTTGCTTATATAATCAATTCTGAAAGTTATTCTCATTAAGATGCATATGATTTCGTGTGTGTGGGTGTAGGAAGGGAAAGAAAGAAGGAGAGAAACAGTTATTTAAATAGATAACCCTTTGTTTCTTCAGTTGGTAACATTTCAGAGAAATACACACTTGCTACTTTCAGTTTTAAAGAATAAAGTAATACTTCATGAGTATTTTTGTGTTTTATTTGTTGAATTTTGAAATATGGCTAACAATAACTTAATGAATAATAATATAAAATATTTAATAGGTATTATGTGTATATAGTGTGATATTAGACAATAATCCTCCTAGCTAATTGTCATCACTGTGTAGACAGATGCATGTATATGAGACAGCATACACATTAGAAATGTGAAAGTAAAAATAAGTTGGTGGAGATACACAGCTATAGTCAACAAAAAACCAAACGGGGGGACAACTGGGACCTGAAGAAGCTAATCATATGTTAGCTGCTACATTTATGGCTCTCTGCTTCTATTCATGTATCTTATGTAATTAAACTCAGCAACAACACAGCATTAAGCATGCATTTGCAAACTATTTTCCCACATATTAGGTACAATGCAAAAGCGTCTGAAAAAGGAGAAAAAAGCTAAGAGGAAACTTCAGGAAGCATTGGAATTTGAATCAAAACGCCGAGAGCAAGTGGAGCAGGCATTGAAACAAGCTACAGCTAGCGACAGTGGGCTGAGGATGTTGAAAGGTAATTTTCACTTGTAAGATGGACAGAGAGAGAGAGAGAGAGGCTTTGTCACGGAATATAATTAATTTAGGTCATGTGTTAAAAGTCATGAATCAAACCAAATTAGCCCTTTCTCTTGAAGATAGAAATAAAAAACATACGTGGATATTTGATGTTGAGTTCCCCAGGGATAATCCATTTGAAATGGATTCTAAATAAATAGAAGTTTCTATGTAAAGAGGTGCTTGAATCAAGGGATGGTAATTCAAATTTTTTCAAGTTTTATTTTAAGATTTAAGTTACTCACCTAAGATTACTTCCATTGATTCAGACACCACGTGAATTAAATGTTCAAGTAACGCCCTCACACACATACGCACAACCTTTGTACAATATAATCACTATCTTGTGTAAATTATCTGAGTACAATCATAATACACTTATTCATCTACTCATGTAACACTACAGATCACAGTGTGAATATTGGTTTCACTTGCACTTAGCATAAACAGGTATCATTCACTATCATATCTTATAAGGGGAAAATACAGTATAATGATGAGTTGCTTCAATTTAGTCAATCATATCAGTCATATTTTTGTCATTCTGTCATCAGGACATGTTAACTGAATAGTTTTTAAGGTTTTGTTTTCTCTTTTTATATAGATAGTTATTTTCCTAGAATACATCTCTCAGATATCAGGTGATTAAAATGTAATTACCATGTTCCTGGAAATATACTCTTAATTGCATAATTCAGTTAGTATATAAACTTCCTTTCTAGCATTACTATAGAAATGCCAAAAGAAAGAAAGGAAATGGAAGGGGAAACTAAGCAAAACAAAATCCAAGTATACACACACACAACAACAACAATTAGTGAAAAAAGACTGAATCTGAAGGGGATAAAGAGAGGGCATATGGGCGGGCTTGCAGGAAGGAATGCAGAGGACGCAATGATTTAATTATATTATAATATAAAAAACAAAAAAATGACACACAGAGAGATGTTTACTGGCCAAAAAAAAATCTGCTCAGAATCTTGTGTTATATAAGTGCCAAAATATTGGCTAGCTGCAATTTTTCTTTAGATAAAACCAGGGAACACATAACTGTACCTTAAATCCTGAATGCCAATTCTTTCAGATACTGGAATTCCAGATATTGAAATAGAAAACAATGGAACTCCTCATGACAGTGCTGCCATGCAAGGTATCATAAACCACATTCTCTTTCCCATAAGTGCGTAATGTGTGATCTATGGAGTTAGGGCTGGGAAAAATGTCTCTCTTGATAGATTTTATTCAACTAATGTTAACTCTTCATAATCTAACCTAAGAAGCAATGGACAACGATCTTCATTGGAGAACATATATGACTTTAAAACTCTTAACAGTGCAATTACTTACGGATTTTATAGATATAAGGTGAGCAAAGTTCTTCCATGTGTAGCTAGTTACTGACAGGATGCATATTTACATTTTATTCACATTCTAAAAGTGGATAAATAAGGAAGAAACATTTCACAAGCACACTGTACTTTAGTCTTCACTGCTTTAGTGACTGGAAAGGGCACAAGTACAATAATCACAACTTAAGGGTATTTTGAAAGTTTTCTTAGATATTTTTATTAACCTTCAAATTTTGATAGTAGTTTTAGAAATCTAAATAGAGAAATAAGAGTATGATTTGTAATTTCCTACTTGGATATATCTTTCATTGCATTTTAGAAAATTCAGCAATAATAAAGTGGATGAGAGGCATCTGTACAGAGTAGTGTCAGACTGTATAAGCCCTAAGAGTAGACTAATCTGCAGGTTGTATTTATATTCACATTTATTTTTTAAAACCAAGCCTAAATATATAAAAAGTACATCTCTAAAGGACGATTTTCCTAACTTTCTGATACAACGAAAGATATGAATACATTGTTCACTGAAGGGTTAAGAAATGGGAGCCTTTCTGCTTTGAGATTTCATCTATGTGAAGGCAATAGCAGGATATGTGACCTTGCTACTTGATAGCTTCAGAAAATTTAGAAACTATTTCTGTAGTTTTGAAACTAGTTTTATGAAAACAGAAGCATCAGATCTCATGATCATCTGATAATGCTTGACTCAAATGCACCTGAATAGGATAAATACATTTAATTCATTAGTTGTGGAAATTGCACATGCTCAGTTTGTTCAATGATATTTGGGCTGTTTCCTAGTACATTTTTGCAGACCTGCTGTACTCCCACAATTTAAAAGCCACATATCTGTTTGCAAAGTTAATTAAAATGAGATTAACTATTTAGCCAGTTCATTTATCACAACTAAATTCACAAAGAAATTGATTAGCTGTCCAGTAGTGGCTCACATGTTTAATCCCAATACTCAGGATACAAAGGCAGGTAAATCTCCAAGTTCGAGGCCAGCCTGGTCTAACAGTGACTGTTACACAGAGAAACCCTGTTTTGCAAAACGAAAAAAAAACAAAGTAAGGAAGGAATGAGGGAATGAGGGAGAGAGGGATAGAAGGAAGGAAAGAAGGAAAAAACGCCACTAAGGCTCCTGTTAGGAGTGAAAAGGATGGAGTGGAGTGTCTATTTGCTTCTGAAACACTAACACACAGATATACACAAATGTTTAAAGAGCCCAAGGTTTGGCTGGGTCCCTAATTTGAATGGTACATAAGATTAGTATTAGAACTGAAAGGAAAATCCAAACAGTATTAATAAATTTTACTTACATTACAATTTATCCCTGTATCTCCATTCAAGTCATTATAGTTACTTTATTTTTATGATGCCTTTAGATAACAAATAATATTTTCCCTACGCCAAGATAAATAGATTTTGAGTTGTCATCAATTTATTTTATTTTCAATGAACAAATTATGGTTATCTTATTCAATTGTGATCAACATATTCACATAAGTAAAAATAAATTCATTCCATATTCATTTAATAGCCTTCTCATACTAATTTATGCTTAGAGAAGCATATATTTATATTGGCTTTCTCTGAACATTTTTCTAAATTCATTAAAAAATAAAGGAATCAGATGCAATATTAAAATAATTTGATAGTTTATTATAAAACAAGAAAACTGATCATTTCCAAAATAAAAAAAAACTAAAATTGTTTGCTTAGTGTCTGTGGTCAACATTGTACATATATGGTAAAATATAGTAATTTAATAATTCCTCATTAGATATAACACAGACTTTTAAACTACACCAAATGTCATTTGCAATAAATGTGGTTAATAAAGAAAAGTATACAGTCTCCTCTCTTTTAGTTAAACATTTAAGCACTATACATGATAAAACTCCACTCATTACTCTACAACAAACTAAAGTGAATATCTTACGTTAAAGTGATAGTAGAACACAACATTCAAAGAAAGAATTTTAGACCATGCGTGGTGGAACAGACCTTTAATGCTAGCTTTCTGGAAGTAGAGGCAGGTGGATATCTTTGACTCCCAGGCCAGATTGCTGTTTATCGTGAATCCCAGGGAAGCCAGGACCTAACTCCAAAACCAAAAGATTTTTGTCAGCAAAAGTAATTTGTTTTGTTAGAGGAATAGATATCTGAAATTAGGATCATAATTGGTAATAAATATAGTTCACAAAGTAAATCAACTCTAATAATTACATAAGACACTTAATGATTTAGCCTATCATTTTAAATATTCATAATTGAAAAATTAATTTTGCATTTATTATAAATTTTAGAAACACTATAATGCCAGAAAAACATGAACTGTAAGCCTATTATTTTTCTATTCTGGCTAATAGTTTTTTTAATGCTATAGTTTCTTTTTTGTTTACTTTGAACTGTGTGTATTTTTCACCTTCCTGCCTTTCTCGGTTTTATAGGTGAGAAGATTACATCCTCTCTTTGTTTATTAAAAGAATCAATTCATGCATGCCAATACAATGCCATTGCCAAAACTCATCTGCATCACAGGAAATAGGTCAGGCTTCATTGATGTCCTTTCTTCCTATTGTCGATATCTCTTCTGGATAGAAATCTATCAGTAACTTAGTGATCTCTCTTTGAAATTCAGTTAGTTCACCATGATATCTTCTTAAAAAGATATAAAGGGAATTTGGTAAAACATTGTATGGCCACTCTTAGAAGTGATGCAATTGTATCTAGTTTTACTATAATGTCCACATAAATTTGAATGAAGACAAACTACTCAGGATTATTATCTTTTGTAAGTCTCATTGGCTTATTTCATTCTAATGCACTTTTAAATGCCATGTGACAAAAATGATAACACACATAGACAACCTTAATAGACAGAATTTTGTATTTCAGCCATCTATCATTATACCTCCACCTAAAGATTTTCAGATGATCAACAATGAGTAAAGTCCTCACTCTGGTGTTTGTGTCCACAATCTCAGGAGCTGAATTTTCAGAGTATATGACCAAATGTGATCCAATTCAAAATCTTCTAACTCATCTGGGGACCTGCAAGACAGCACATCAACCATCTTATCAGTCAATCTCTGCTTCACATAAAATAAACATACCAAGTGTCATTAAGTGTACCTTTAGATCAATGATTTTTGCAAATGACCTTTAAGTGGCATTTGTGTGCTGCATTTTTTGCTGATAAAAGCAAATTAAATTAGCACAACTATAAGTGAGCTGATAAAAACTAAAACTGAACAGCAGTACCATTAGCTAACAAAGTAATATTTTCTCTTTACTGCATTCTGCCATTTAGTTATTATCCTATTGGAAATCTAATTATAATCCTTTTACTCCCCAGTCCAACTTCACAGTTTTTGCAAGCTTAGCACTGACAAGTGATTTCATTACATTTGATTGCCCATGCCCAGATTGACTTAACTTCACTTGGAGACCTAAAAGCCCTCTCAGTTTCTCAGATTCCCTGTTTGCACATTACTGCAACAGCTCCTTTAATTAATTAGCATGAACAGCAGTAACATGAACTGCTGAACAGAAAATAACATCATTTTATGATCGCAGGGAGACTTCTCCCTTTTGCATGTTTATACCCTAGTTAACTTTCGTATGACTATATTTTGTTGTAGAGTTGATGGTGCAAGTTTCTTACATTTAAAAATGATATCATTAGCATCTTAATAATAAGAAAACAAATACATGATATGAAACTCCTAAATTTTAGATGAAATCAGGTAGTATATATAAACTTTCTAGTCATAAAACAATAAAACTGAATTCAGAAGAGATGTTATCATAAAGTACAAGGACATAGTGGACCCCATTGTATCTGTGTGTGACACTTCATTGTTTTGCATAAAAAGAAAACACAGAAAATACTAAGAACTGATTTTTGTAAGTGAAATACCGCTACTTATGATTTTTGCATTTGTTTACTTCATGTTGATTAATATGAGATGATTGAGCACCAGCAAGTTTTTATTCTGATAATTTTTCTAATGCAAAAGGAATTTTTAATAATTTACCTTCATTTATCACCAATACCATTAGGAGATACTAAACTTGGCATATTTACCAAAGTTAAAAATGTTCTGTAAAAATAAGCTTATTATAAGCTTTTTTCCCTCTAGGCAGTTTTAGTTCAAAACTATGAAACCCAGAAGCTTTTTAGAAAAGACACCACTGAAAGACACAAAATTTATGATTCCTTCTAAATAGTGTATCCTAAAGATGCCAATGAAAAATTAAAAAGCAAAGTGCATTTGACAGAAAATAAGTAGAAGACACAATTTTAACTTTTACATATTGAAAGAACACTTCATTTACAACATATGTAGTGCATGTATATTATATAATATCTAAATATATATTCAATATGAACTATTTGCAAATGTATTTTTCTGAATATATATTATATATATTCTTATCCAATCACAAAATCCACTACAACCATATTTATATTTCCTGAAACTTATTTTTCTTTGTTATTTATATACTTACTCAGCATAAACTTCCTACAAATGGTCAAATGTGCATGCCAATAATTACCAGAATAATTTCCCTCATTACAGAACTGTGGTTGCACAATTTAGTACAATGGTAAGAAAATTGACAGTATGCATATAAAATAAAATAATAAAAGATAAATTTCATATGAATTCTTATCATCGATGTATGAGTTTTACAAAAGCAATAGAATTTCTCTAATGACGGTGTTTTCTAATTCCCAAACACAGTGTGTTCTCAGTCTCTCTCTTTAAAGATTCCACTCACTGCATCT